TTACTTAATTGTGTATGGTATCTTTTAACAACATATATTTTACTTCTTTGTCTCTTTCAATTAGATCTACTTTCACTTTTGCTTTGTCTGAGATCCTGATTGCTACTCCTGCTTTTTTTTTACTTCAGCTGAAGCATAATATATTCTGCTCCAGCTTTTTACCTTTACTCTGTGTGAATGTCTGCTTCAAATGTGTTTCTTGTAAAAAACACATTGCAGGATTATGACTTTTAATCTACTCTGCTGTCTGTTTCCATTTTATGGGTGAGTTCATCCCGTTCACATTTACAGTTATGATTCCTAACTGTATTTCCCTTCATCCTGTTTTCCCCGTTTATACTTTTCTTTCTCTCTCCTTTCCCCTGTCCCTCTTCACAGTGTTTTTCTTCTGACTACTCCCTCCCTTAATCTGACCTCCCTTCTATCAGCCCCTCACATTTTCTTGTACCCTTCTTCTCCTACTTCCCTATAGAGTAAGATAGACCTCTATACCCAACTGAATGTGTATGTTATTTCCTCTTTGAGCTGAATCTGTAGAGAGAAAAGTTCAAGCAATCCTCACCTCACTCCCTTCTTTCCCTCCATTGTAATAGATCTTTTGCACCTTTAAATGTGATATAATTTACTCCATTCTTCCTCTCCCTTCCCTCTTCTTCCAGTACAACCTTCTTTCTCACCCTTTTTTCATATCATCCATCTAAGTCAATTTATACCCACATACTCTGTCTATGTATACTCCTTCTAACTGCCCTAATAGAGATACAGTTCTTAATAGTTACAAGTGTCATCTTCCCCTGTGGGGATGTAAACACTTTAATCATATTGAATAATTTACAGCTTTGCTTTCCTGTTTCCCTTTCTATGCCTTTCTTGAGCCTCATATTTGAAAATCGAATTTCCTGTTAAGCTCTGGTCTTTTCAACAGGAATGTTTGGATGTCCCCTATTTCATTGAACATCCATTTCCTCCCCTTAACATTATGTTCACTTTTACTGGGTAGATGATTCTTGGTTGTCATTCATCCTCCTTCACCTTTCAGAAGCTCATATTCCATGCCCTCTTATCCTTTAATGTAGAAGCTGCAAAATCTTGTGTATTTCTGACTGTGGCTCTTCAATATCTAAACTGTTTCTTTTGGGTTGCTTGCAGTATTTTCTCCTTGACATAAGAGTTCAGGAACTTGGTTCTAATATTGTTGGGAGTTTTCATCTTGGGATCCTTCCAGAGATGGTCAGTGGGTACTTTCAATGTCTGTTTTACCCTCCGATTCTAGGATATAAGGGCAGTTTTCCTTCAAACTTTCTTGAAAGATGCTGCTTGTCACTTTTTTTATCATGGCTTTCAGGTCGTCCAATAATCCTAAAATTATCTCTCCTGGATCTATTTTTCCGGTGGTTTTTCCAATGAGGTATTTTATTTTCATTTTATGTGATTATTTTTTTCATTTTTAAAATTTTATTTGATTTAGTCTTGTTTTTGCAGAATCATCAAATTAGCTTTCTCTTGCTCAATTCTCTTTTTTTAAGGAATTATTTTCTTTAGTTATCTTTTTTTTTTTTAATGAAAATGACCTACCTCTTATTTAGCTATGGTTTTACATTCCGGTTGTCACCTGTATTTCCTTTTTCATTTGGCCATTCTCCTTTTTTAAGGAGTTGTTTTCTTCAGTGGATTCTTATATACCTTTGTCCATTTTTGTGCTTTTTTTTACCAAGCTTTTGACCTTCTTTTCATGATTGTCTTGCATACTTCCCATTACTTCTCCCAATTTTTCTTCTGCCTCTCTAATATGATTTTAAAAGTACTTTTTTAAGATCTTCTAGGTGTTTTTAGGCCTGAAACCATTACAAATTTCTCTTTAAGGCTTCACATTCACATGCTTTGCCATTGTTTTCCCCTTCAGAGTCTGTGTTTTGATCTTCTTTGTTGCCATAGCAGCTTTCTATGGTCAGGGGGTCAGGGCTTTTTTTCCCTGACTTTCCAGCTTAATTTCTACTTTTAAAGTTGATCTCTGCTTTTGGGGTATAAAGGGAACTGTCCCAAATTACTTGCCCTTAAGTTCAGGTGCATGGCCCCTGGCTTGTTGTTCTGGTACCTAGGGGGCTGGCCACTAGCCTATTGAGCCTGGACCTCCAGGCCTCCCAGACCTGGCCACTAGCCTGCTGATTCATTAATCCCCACTTCAAATATGAGGTATTTCAGGAAGGCGTTCCACACCTACGCCACCCCATAAAAACCCACAACAGAAGGGTTTTTGCTCAACACTTATTGAATGAATGAATTTTATGCTTGTGATTAGAGGTAACATCTGGTTGAAAGCAACATTGAAGCTAATCCAGGAATGTGTGTGTGTGTGTGTGTGTACATGTGGTGGGGTCAGGGAAAGTAGGAGCTAAAGCCTCATTTGCTCAGGGCCCTGAAAAGGGGTCTTACCATATCATAGGATGAACTGTAGCTCTGTCTCCAGTGCTTAGAGTCAGGAAGAATTGCATTCAGATCCTGCCTCTGATATTTACAAGTTGCATGACCTTGGGCAAGTCCCTTAACTTCTCCCCATCATTTCTGTGCCAGGCTGGTCTAATTAAACCTGATGTTGAGGGGGTTTCTCTGAGTCTCTCCTGTCTCCATTTTAGAGGGAACAAACTGATAAGGATACAGATCATCCAAGGGATGCCATTCATCATGGTATACCATAATGGGAATGTATATGATTCGAAAGAAAGAAGCAGATCCTGCCAGTGAGGATTTTATATTTTGAATTATTAAGGTTACTGGGGCTATTTTCATCGTATAAGAGAATTTACTCATAAGACTAGTCCTATGGCGGCAACAGGGCAGAGTGCTGGATCCACACACCACCACTGGGCCAGAAGAGGTATTATATAGAAAGAGAACAAAGAAGACCAAAAGCTAGGGATGATCAGTGATCAAGTTTCCCCATGGGATAGTTGAAGTTTCTCTTTCTGTTTACATTAAAGGTCATTTACATTATCTGTGGGGTGATAGATTCTGCTCCCAGACCCTTGTGCCCACCATACCTAAAATTACTTGGTGAGTTCCTAACTCAGATAAGACCAGTAGAGTTTTTTCCTCAGCATGGATGGTGAATTTAGAAGGGGCTGAGCACTTGCAGAACCTCAGTGTACTGAGCATGGGCTCTTTTGTTATCCTTCCCTGGTCTCAAGGCAACCTCCTGGGCAGTGGCTTGGAAACAGTCTCCTGAGATCTCTAAATCCCTCCATCCAGTGGTTTAGTGTTTGGAGCTCCTGCCCTGAAGTTAGGAAGATCTGAGTTCAAATCCAACCTCAGGCTCTTAGTATCTATGTGAGTTTGGGCAAAAGCAAGTCAGAGTGTTGCAAGTTAAACACTGTTGCATCTTTCTGCCTCCTCAGTAAGACTGACAATACATCTGAATGTGTCTATGATCTTACAGAGTTGTCTGGGGCACTAAGAGGTCAGGTTGACTGTGGTCATGCTGCTAGCATGGATCTTAAGTAGTACTTGAACTCTGAGCCTTCCTGACTCTGAAGCTGAACCTCTATCCTTAGGCCTCAGAGAATCCCTCTCTTCCTTCAAGACTCATTTCAAGCATTACCTGTTCCATGAATCCTTTCTTGATTCCAGCTGCTAGTTGCCTCGCTCCCAGACTGCTTTGTAATTTGCCTTTATTTGTGTTTATTCTGTATATACTCTTCTGTATTTTCTGATTCATTAGAATGTCATGAGTTTCTGGTGGTTAGGGGACATTACCCTTAATAGTGTTTTCATCACCGGAACCTAGCACACTGCCTGTTACACAGGAGTTCCTTAAAAAGTGCTTACTGAAAAAAAAAAAAACCACCACCACCAACAACAACAACAAAGAAATGCTTGTTGAGGGCAGTTAGGTGGTGCAGTGTATAAAGCTCTGGCCTTGGAGTCAGAAGGACCTGAATTCATATCTGGCCTCAGACACTTGACCTTTTCTAGCTGTGTGACCCTGAGTAAGTCACTCAATCCCTATTGTCTCACCAAAAAAAAAGCTTTTTAATTGCTTAATTAGCCCATCTGTGTTTCTGTGTGCCCAGCACATAGGAGGAGCTTACTCTATAGCTATTGAATGACCAAATTAATGAGTTGTAGGTATAAGCTAGAGTAATTTTTAATGATTATAAAATACATGTCTCTCACTTATACTTTTCATCATTAATCACTTTAATATTTTCATTATCACATCTAATTCATGTATTCTCTTATATTTTAATTTGATACCTGGTGTGAAGTGTTCATCTCCTACCAAATTTCTGTTGAACTGCTCTCCACTTATGCCATCTTTTTTTTTTTTTATCAACTACACACAGTATTCGCTTTGTGTAAGTGGACTATTCGGCAAAGCTCTAAGTAGAGCAATTTCAAAGTAACATAAATTTGCCCAAAGACTTGACTATACAGGACTGAGGGAGGCAGGAAGGATATCACGTGCCTGTGAAGAGTAGGGGCCAGGAGATGTTCAGGGACACCCGGGGGCCAGGGGCAGAGACAGAGGAGGAGGAGGACCAGGCAGTTTCTGGGGCCAGCCACATTATGGCCTTGCCAGAACTGAGAAGAACATGTGGGGGACAGACATGTGGAGGCAAGACACGGTCACAGACAGAAGAGTACAGATTGTAACAAATGGACTGAGGAAAACACATGTTACCTGAACATGGATGGACAGAAGATAGAGAGGTGAATGCCAGACAAGAGGATAAATGAGCAGAGCAGCCAAAAGTCTCCTCTCTCCACACTGGAGATCTCAAGCCAAGCCTGGATCATAAGGCTGCAGAGCTGGAAAGAATCACTCTGCACACCCAAAACCCCTTCACACCTCTCCATTAATACTCTTTACATTCTTGACCTCATTTAAAAATTTTTCAGTGACGTTTTCTGTTTCTTACATCACGGTATCCCATGTATCCCTCCCTCTCCCTGTCCTCCCCCCTGAGATTTATATAATCTAAAAATGGTATTTTTTGTTTTAGGAAGGAAAAGCAGTCAACACAACTATACAGTACACAGAGGAAAAGATATTTGTGGTGGGAGACACTGACTCTGGGAACACTCCATTTACCAAAGGCTCGCTCTCTGTGGAAATGCATCTAATCTCAGAACACTTAGAGGAAAAATACTTGTGGAAGGAGATAGTCTTTCTGGGAACATTCCAGTTACTACAGGCTTACTCTCTGGGGAAGCATATTCACTCTCTGAACACTCAGCAGACGAGACATTTGGGGCTGAAGACACATGTTCTGATCTTGCTTTCTGGGGAAACACATCTACTCTCTGAAGACTCAGAGGAAAAGATACTTGTGGCAGGAGACACCCATTCTGGAACATTCCAGTTACTACAGGCTTGCTCTCTACAGAAACACATTGAGAGAAAAATGGATATTTAATGAAATATATGCCTTTGAAGACTTCCTGATGAAAAGAACAGAAATAATGAGAAAATATGGCTTTCAAATACAAGACTCAAAAGAAGCATTAAAAGGCAAATATAAAAGAGAAATCATAAGCTATTCAATAAGATTCAGCTGTGTACTTTTCCATAAGAGAAAATGATATGCATATCTTCTAATAATTTTATCATTATTCGAGTAGGTAGAAGGATTCTACCTAGAAAGTGGGTTTGGGGAGTGAGCCAATTAGGTGGAGATGATGTAAAACAAATGGATAGTGGAAAAATACAGATGTCCTAGGAGAAGGTAGAAAGGAGTTAAAGAATGGGGGAAATATTATCACATAAAATAGGTGTGCAAGGAAGTTTTTTCATTGGAGTAGAAAATTGGGGATGTGGGAATGGTCAACCAATGTTTGAACCTCCCTCCCATCTAAATTGGTTCAAAAAGGAAAATATGTATTTACTCAATTAGTCATAAAAATCTATCTTACCCTACAGGTAAGTAAGGTAAAGGGACAAGTGAAAGAAAAAATAGTCATAAAAGGTAGGCAGACAAAAGAAAGCAGTGGTCATATGCAAATTAGGCATTAGAGGAGGGACAGGATAAAAAGAGAGAGAATGAGAAACAGACAGAGATAGGATGGAGGGAAATGAATAGTTAGTCATCATAACTGTGTGAATGGAATGAATTAACTCATAAAATGAAAGTAGTAAAATGGATTAGAAATCAGAATAGAATCTTAAAAGTTAGATATGAAAGACCTCTGGAGAAAACTGAATGGGTATAGAAAGGAGTACAGACTAATGTTCCTTGATGTAAATTCATATTATGCAACTTAGACTTTATGTAAGGAATTCTATAAGAAATCTGCATTCCCAAGAAAACACCCATGTGAACTTTACTACTCAGTACTGGGATCTCTTTCTCTTCCTGACCCTTGGCGTAGAACTCTGTCAGTTCCTATCCCCAACCTCCCCTCTCCAAAAAAAAAATCCTCCAGGTTGAACCAGAAGATGGGAGCTAGACAGACATCTACCAACACTGCTGGATCAGGACTTGGCTTGACACCTCCAGTGCTGAAAAATGAGACCTTGGTTTCAGTCTGCCTACCTACCAGAGAGTTTGGTCTCTGCTTTTTGGCATTTTGTCCATCCTCATTGGAGTAATGTTAAAAAGAATTCTCTTCTTTCAGTCTGTAAATCACAGACATATGCAGGTTTAGGGACAGTGCCCTCTTTCTGTTTTCCAACAAGGTACATGGAAACGCCCCTTTCACCAGGTGCTGATTAAAACCAGAATGAAAAACAAATATACCATTAAATTAAAAGACTCCAAATGAAGGAGATGATATGGAGAAGGGGAGGGGAAAATTTCCTAGACTGTCTCCTCTCTCCCAAGCCCTGAGGCCAAGATGACGATGGGAAGAAGGGAGAGAGGAAAGATGGCAAAGTCCACATGAGGGGGGGAAGGAGGGAGTGTCCCTAAAGACTTCTCCCTAATGGCCTCCACTGAACCCCACTCACCCCACAACACCTGTCCCCCAAGCCCCAGATCTCCAGACAGAAGCTTGGGCTGTAAGATGACCCCAGGCAGCAGAAGCCCTGGAGGAGCAGGTGCACATGAATACACACACATACACATAAATACACACATACACACTCTCAGATACACATGATCCTACCTACACACACAAAACATGCATAAACAAAGTTATTAATACTCCCACGAACCACCCAACCATGCCCACACAAATCCCCATGGGCACTAAAACAAGCCAATTTGGGATAGCAGTGATGAGGTGAGGCAGACAGGCATGTGTGAGGCAGATGAAGCAAACAGGATTCAGGATATGAGATAAGATGCAGGATGTGACCGGCCAGAAAACTGATCAAAGAAGACTATGCATTGAAGACCCCCACCATGGACTTACCAGTGTGCTTTCACAAAGCACCATCAATTAACCTGACAACTCTTCCCCTCCCCTTTCTGCTTCTCTTTGCTTCTCTGTATGGACTATGTGACATCCTGGAGTAGTGTTCCACTCCCACTCATTCCATAAAATTGTATTTAAAGCATAACTGTAATGCGGCCAACTTCCTTTGCCTGCAATGGGAAGTAGGTCTTATGCTCTGTCTCTCCCACGTGGGAGCAGACCAGCTTGAGTGCATCACCTCAATAAATGCCATTGTTTAATTTGAAGAACTGTTCGAGTGAATGTCTTTCAGGACACTAGGACCACCTGTGTATTCTTTATCATTTCAGGTGGCACCTCAACCTTCTTGGGGTGCATCCTGAACTCGTCAGGGGGAGGTTCAGGAGAAGACTTAAGGGGACAGAAAAGAATATAGAGGGGAATGTGGAGGGGTAGGAGGAATGGAAAGGGGCCCACTTTCTTTCCCTGCTCTGGGGGTTGTGAGGAATCCTAGTCCCATTTACTGCTTGCAGATGCTGCTGTAGCTACTGTGCTCCTCCCTTTTGTGGAGCCCAGGACATCCTTCCCTCCACCTCCCCCATCCTCTCTTTGTCCTCCCCACAGTTTGTGTAAAGGGGTGGACAACCCCAAGCTGAGCTCAGCTGCTGCCCCCACCACAGCCCCAGCAGACTGCCCTCAGGAACCTGGGACCCTGGTCAACCCCAGGGCCACTTTCAGAGGGAAGATGCACCTGTGGCCCCTTCCCATAGCCAGTTTGGGTGATGGGGGTGGAGAGAAATGACTTTCAGAGGGGACCCCCCAATGCTCTGAACCCAATATCAGAAACCCCCTCCTCTCCCTCCTTCCTTCTCTCTTTGCTCTGGAAGAGGCTAGCCCCACCCTGCAGTGACATCACTGGGTGGGTGGGGGGCCCCCCTGCTATCTTCTACTAAGGGTGAGTTTCTTTGTCTATGGAGGAGGCTGTAAGTAGGATGGGCAGCTAGAGGTCTGCTTGCCCCTCACTCACTTCCCTTCCTTTTCTCCTCCATGCCCCTCCCCTCAGTTACCCCCATCTTCTAGACTGACGGATCCTGAGGGTCCTACTAATGTCTATGTGTCTGTGAGTCAGCAAAGAGATCCCCGCAATCCCTCTCTGATCAGCCACTCAATTCTCCCTCAGTCTGTGAGCTGAAAGCTCTGGAAGCAGCTGACACCCCTGGGCATGCCTGGACTAGGGCTGGGACTGAGCTTTTCTCTCATCACAGTCATAGACTTTTCTTTCTGACCTTCTTTTATTTATTTATTGTTTTAGGCATTGGGATTAAGTGACTTGTGTAGGGTCACACAGTAAGTGCCACATGTTTGGTTGAAGGCCAGATTTGAACTCAGGTCCTCCTGACTTCAGGGCTAGTGCTCTATCGACTGCATGACCTACCTGCCCCCAACTAATGACCTTCTAAGTTGTCTTTGGCATTCATGAATTGAGAAATCTGGTAACTGCCACAGCTTCCTGTGATTCAATCTTCTGAGGGCTGCTCCAGGTTCACTGAGGCCTATTTTACCTGCATGCCCATGCTGAACTATATTCTTCTCCCTGCCTGGTGCAATATACCTTTCTGATCAACCATCCAAGTTGTCTTGGGCTGGAAATTTGTTTCACTCTGTCTTTTTGTGGGTTCTTCTGTTTTAGAATTTGTTTAGAGTCATTTTTACAGGTATTTGCAGGGGTTTGAGGGACAGCTCAAGCAAATCACTGCTTTTACTCTGCCATCTTGGCTTCGCCACCACAACATGTTATTAATTATTAATAAACAAGGGCAAACTGTTTATATCCCTACAAAGGAATATGACACCTGTAACTCTTGAGAACTGTATTGTTATTAAACCAAATTAAATGGGTATACATAATGTGGGTGGGTATAAGTTGACTTTGATGTAATGATAAAAAAAAATCTAATCAAGTGGGTTAAATGGATCCAAGTAAGTGGATTAGTCTGATCTAAGAAAAATGTACTTAGAGAAAAAGAAAGAAGGAGGCAGACAAGGGTAAATTACATTACAGGAAAAGGCACAAAAGCCTATTACACTAGAGGAAAAGAAGAGAGGGAGATGAGCATTGTTTGAACCTTATTCTCATCAGATTTGGCTCAAGAAGGGAATAACATGATCAGTTAAATATAGAAATCTAACTTGCCCTATAGACAGTAGGAGGGAAAAGGGGAAAGAAAAGGGAGGAAGGATAGAAGGAAGAGTAGAAGTAGTAAGTGTAAAGGGAAAGAAAAGGGAAAGGGCTAATAAAAGGGAAGAGGGACTGAAAGAGGCGGTGGTCAAAAGTAAAACACTAGTGAGAAGGGGAAAGGAGAAAGCAGAAAGAAAAGCACAAATGGGGGGAATAAAAAAAGAAATTAAAGCTATCTGTAATCATATGAAAAAATGCTCTAAATCACTATTGATTAAGAGGTGTAAATCTAAAGGACTCTGTGGTACCACATCACACCTAACAGATTGGCTAACATGACAAAACAGGAAAATGATAAATGTTGGAGAAGTTGTGGGAAAATTGGAACACTAATGCATTGTTGGTGAAGTTGTGAATGAATCCAACCATTCTGGAGAGCAATTTGTAACTATGCCCAAAGGGCTATAAAATTGTGTATACTCTTTGATCTAGCAATACTGTATTCCAAAGAGATCATAAAAAAGGAAAAAGGACCCACATGTACAAAAATATTTATAGCAGTTCTTTTTGTCGTGGCAAAGAATATCGAAATTGAGGGGATGCCCATCAATTGGGGAATGACTGAATAAATTATGGTATGTAATTTTAATTGAATACTATTGTTCCATAAGAAATGAGGAGCAGGTAGATTTCAGAAAAACCTGGAAAGACTTACAGTAAACTGATGCTGAGTGAAATGAGAAGAACTAGGGGAACTTTGTACACAGTAATAGCAATATTGTGTCATGAACAGCTTTGGTAGACTTATCTCTTCTCAGCAATGTAATGATCTAAGATAATTTCAAAAGACTCATGATGGGAAATGTTATCCATATCCAGAGAAAGAACTATGGAGTCCAAATGCAGATCAAAGCATACTGATTTCTCTTGAAATATATATGTGTGTGTATGTGTGTGTGTGTGTGTGTGTGTATACATATACACACACACACACACACACATATATATATATATGTATATATATATATGTATGTATATATATATACATATATATGTATATATATGTATATATATATATATATATATATATATATATATATATATATATATATATATATATATATATATATACATATAGTGGCTCTTTTTTATTGTAGCAGAGAATTTAAAACAAACTGACCACTAACTGGGGAATGGCTAAACAAATTGTATCATAAGAAATCATGACTGACAGATTCAGAGAAATTTTTCAAGATTTCTTCCCCTCTTCACTTTAGCCAAAACAGGACCTTGTGAGCATCTAAGGATCTGGAAGGTTTTGTACTTCTCATTAGCATCTTAGCATCAGCACATCTCCCCAACTGCACAATCAGGAAGATATACTGGACTCATGGCTCTACAAGGAACCCAGAAAATAAACTACATTATGCCTAAGGGTAGCTTATTGATCACCACATGAATTGGAGAAAAGGAGGACTTTGAGCAACCTAGAACTATGTTACTCCTTTGCTTATGTGCTTTAAAAGCTTGAGCCCACTTTTTCCTGGACTCTGTGTGTACTCATGAGAATGTATCACAGATGTTTGGGAGGAGAATGCTGTTCTTAATATATAAATTTAGTAAATACTTTCTGAAAGCTAAAATTAAATTACATTAAAAAAAAAGAGAGAGAGATGCCAAATGAAAATGCCAAGAAATATTGTAGCCATAATCCAAAATTACCAGGTCAAAGAAAATACTGCAAGCACAGTCAGGATTATGCAGGACGCAGGACCTTGCAGCTTCTATGTTAAAAGATCAGAGGGCATGGAATATGATATTCCATAAGGCAAAGGACCTTGGATTACATCCAAGGATCAACTACCCAGGGAAATTGAGCATAATCTTTCAGGGGAGGAGAGGACATTCAATGAAATAGGGGACTTCTAAACTTTCCTGATGCAAAGACCAGAGCTCAACAGAAAATTTGATCTTCAAATACAAGGCTCAAGAGAGGCTATGAAAAGGTAAACAGGACAGAAAAAATAACAACATGCTATTAATAAGGGCAAACAGTTTATATCCCTACAAGGGAAGATGACACTTGTAGCTCTTGAGATCTGTATTGTTATTATGACACTTGAAAGGGACAGAGGGCATGGGTATAACTTGATTTTGATGTGATGATAAAAAAATTAATTAAGTGGTGAAAAATGATTGTACTGGGAGAAGAGGAAAGGGAGGCAGACAAGTGTAAATTACAACACATGAAAAGGCACAAAAACCTATTACAATAGAAGGAAAAAAGGTAGGGAGATGTATTGTTTGAACCTTACTCTTATCAGATTCGGTTCAAAGAGGGAATAACCTAATCAGTTAGGTACAGAAATTTCACTTGCCCTATAGGAAGTAGGAGGAGAAAGGGGAAAGAAAAGGGAAGGGGCTACTAGAAGGGAGGGCAGACTGAGGGAGGCAGTGGTCAGAAGCAAAACCCTAGTGAGGAAGGAAAAGGAGAAGGGAGAGAGAAAAACATAAATGGGATGGGGAGACAGGAATAGGATGGACAGAAAGACACAAATAGTAATCATAACTATGAATGTGAATGGGAGAACTCTCCCATAAAACAGAAGTGGATAGTAGAGTGGATTAAAAACACATTCCTACAATATATTGCTTATAAGAAACACTTTTGAA